TTTGAAATACTAGTGAATTACAAGCTATCTAGAGAGGCAAATTTTCTAACACTGATTCTGCAACATTTGGTATCTGAGATAGACTTAGAAGCATCAGTCTATCCTGAGTCTGGTGAAACCTTTAGAGCAAGGTAAGTGATGGCGCTGCATGTGTGTGCCTGCTGTTATTTTTATTTTTTTCTGATGCTTGGGTTGGCATGGATTTGCCCACATTCAATGCTCTGTTTACATTTCCCAAACTAGAACGATGCCTCTGTTGCATTTACTCTAGTAAGGTAGCTATGGTTTTATGATAACATATTTTTAATTAGTTGCAATATTTGTTGCAAGTTAAGCCCTTTGTTTTCCTTAAAGTGTGAAAGTTTATTCCAAAATTTTGAGTCACCCTCATTAACTCTTTGCCATCAATGCTGGCAATCTTGGCGTTTTACTTTTATGTTTTCTTTATTTTAAACAATGTGTGCTCTACTTATGGGATCTTTTTCTGTACAGGACCTTATTGATACGGGAAGTGCTGATATTACTCAATAGACTCGTGTCCAACCCAGTACACTCTGCCTCTGTCTTGAGATTGTTAACCAACAGCAGGGATATGGTCAGTTTAACTGTTGATGTTGCAAACAGGTTGTCCAGAAAAGAATCGAAACGAAGGCATCCTGACAGCATAACTAAGCAGATGAGAGAATCTGAAATTGTCGACTTGGGACGAATATTCAAGAGAAGGGTTTCTACTTATCTAGGAGAATAACTGTCTGGTGCAGTAAAAAAAAAATCTGTAAATTGTGGCTTTTTCTCAGAGAAAGAATCTGAGGTTTTGGTGGAGGGTGCATCTAGGGATTGGGCGAGGTGTGAGAGCTCTATACTGCCTCATCTCATCCAGAAAATTTTGACAAATCTTGATGTAGTTGATGCCGAAGCAATTTTGAAGCACAATTAGCTGGATTTTAACTTATAAGTGTAGTTAAGGCTTTGCATATTCAGTTTCATGTGCAAGAACCCTTATTAGTGTTTCTCTACGTAAAGAGACTCAGTTCTTTTCATCAAACTCATAGAATGAGAAAATTTCTGGATAAATTCTTTGTCGAAATTGATCCTTTGATTTTACAGATTGCAAAATAGAGCAGGGTCCTTATTGCTGTCTATTGACAAAACCAGAACAATATTACAAACTTGCTATTCACAGTTATTTAAAACGAGTTTGAAGCATTTCGCTGCTTATGACTGTGTTGTGCTCTCTCTCACCTGAACTCTCTATGAAATAGACCTCCCATTCTCCATTTCTCCAGTAGGTATAATGAACTTCTGGAATGTTTGCAACTTTCCTATAATCTCCACCTTGTGCATCAGGAAGAAGCGTCATAATCAATTCTTCAGGCATATCGAAAAATTCAAGCACTTTTAACTTGGCCAGATATTCGATCCCCAGTGGCACCCTCTCCAGCAATTTGCAACGTTGGATACTCAGATTCTCAAGACGTGGCATTGCTCCTTTTTCCATTTCTATGCATTTGAGTCCTTCAAACTTATCTATACCTAGAATTTTAAGCTTCTTAAAACCGCCAGCCTTGAAACGCAAAGTGTCTCCCTGGGTTGCTTGCAGCAGTTCAAGATGAATAAGATTGGGCAAGTTTTGAAGAGATTCAAGCGCATCATCTGGCAGCCTGCTCCATTTCAGATATAATACCACCAGGCTATGAAGAGAAGGTATCCAGTCTGGTATCTTTTCTAATCGCCCGTACAAGTATAGTCGTTGAAGCAATTGAGGAGGAGAAGAAAGATGTTGCAGGTCAACGAACTCTTCCTTCACCGATGAAACAATAGACAATGCATGTAGTTTCGTCAGCTTTTGGATGGATGAGCACAAAAGCTTTCCATCTTCTTTTCTCAAGTTTGTAATGCCTAGTCTGCGAAGTTGCACCAATTTTCCAAGCTCTATGATAAGGGCATCATCATGGTTTACCTCCATAAAACAGAGTTTTTGAAGGGATTGTAGAGCTCCTATTCCTGACAGAGCCGGAAAACCGTATTTGGAGTGAAAGCGTGAGTATGCGGTAAATTCATAACGATATACCAGGAGATGACGAAGTCTTCGGAGCTGTAGGATCTCAACCGGCAAATTAGAAACTTGGGAATGTTTCAGATCCAATGTCTCCAAGCCCTGAAGCTTCACTATAGAGCTTGGAATTGTCTTGATGTTTGTATCCCTCAAGCTAAGATAACTTAAAAGCTTCAAGTTGATAACTTCCTCCGGGAATGTCTGTAAAGGCGCAGCTCGCAAATCTAACACTTTAAGCAGCCTACAACCGTCTGGAAACAATGTTTTTGTTGGTGAACAGGACAGTGGATCGCCCATCCCGAACATAAGCAAGGAGCGTAGATGAGAAACATTCCTGTTTTCCTGGGCATTAGGGAATGCGTTATGTATTGCCAGACGGCGAACCTTGTCAGGCCATGTTGCATTTTGCTCTTTAGCTACTGTGACAAAGTTCTGATCCCTAGCATTTGAAATGATGATTTCTCGCAGAAGGTCGTGAATGCGGCATGTTTTGGCCCTTCCGTCATTCGTTGTCCCTGCGATTTGAATCATGCTTCTATTCAGGAGCTCATTAAGGTAGTCCTTTGCAACTTCTTCTTGTGTCTTTCCTTCTTTGACTTCAACAAACCCCTCTGCAATCCACAATCTTATCAGTCTCATACTCTCAATCAGATGGTTCTCAGGGAAGACGCTTAAATACAAGAAACAAGATTTCAAGTGGTATGGCAAATCATTGAAACTCAGCAGAAGGACTTCCTTGAAATTCATGAGTTTACTGTTGTCCTCAATTTCAGCACCAAGGCTGCGGTAAACAGTCTCCCATTCAGCAATGGTACGTCTTTTTGTAGCCAAAACACCACCGATTGCTACAATTGCAAGTGGAAGTCCCTCGCACTTCTCCAAAATACGTCTAGAATGTTTCTCCAATTCAGGAGGACAGGGTTTCTGCCGGAAACATTTCTCACAGAAAAGAATCCAGGACTCATCCGGAGGTAAGGGCTCTAAATTGAAGACCTTATCTTCAGATTCTATGCAGGAGGTAGATGCGACTCCAGAATTACGCGTTGTGAGCAACACACGACTGCCACGATCATTGTTAGCCAATGCGTAATTGACCACGTCCCATTCATTCATGTGCCACACATCATCTAGAACAATCAAGTACCTCCTTTTCTGCAGGAAGTCCTTGACTACCTTTTTCAGATCATGAACCGCATTCATCTCATTCACACGTTTAGGAACTGGCTTCCTGATTGCATCGAAGAGTTGTCGTACCATATTTCTTAGGAGCTCCTCTATCTTGAAAGGACGAGAAATAGTAACCCAAACATGTATATCAAAATGTTTCTTCACAATTGCATTATCATAGACTTGCTTCACCAAGGTAGTTTTACCTGATCCTCCCATTCCAACCACTGAAATCACCTTGCGCCCAGAGTTTCTCTCAACCAACCAGTTGATCAGTTGCACTTTGGATCCGTCAATACCTACCAAGTCAACGCTGTCTAGAAGGAGGGCATCCCCTCTACCGTCCAGCCATGGATTATCTGTGGTAGTGGAGCTTGGGCCTACCTCGATTGTACCCTTACCGTCATAATTTGGACGCCTGGCAGATATGGTGCTGATTCTGGATCTGATGCCTCGTAATTTGGGAGCAATCCGGTGCTGAGCTTTCAATTTTTTTGTAAAGCAGCAAACATTGTATAGAAAAGCATCAATCCCATGCCTACGGTCATTGACAAGGTCAAGCTTGTATTCATCCAGGATGTCTTCAATGTCGTAGGCGATCTCTCTTACTTGCTGAACCCAGACCTTGAGTTCCTCGTTACTCTCCCCCATCGAGTCTGCAACTCTCAGGATTGCCTTCATGCTCTGCAACTCGTCCTTGATGTACTCCACATCTTCAGGAATCCCTTGCGAAAGCTCCACCTCATTCTGCAGAAATAATGTGAGGTTTTCAAGAAGAAAGGATACTGCAATTTCAGCCATCGCCAATTTCTATAGATTCGTCTTGAAAATGAAAAAAATAAATAAATAAAGTAAAGAAGGTATTTGTTATTCCTGATTACTTCGAGTTCAATATATAGGACTAGTTTGGCATCTGGATGGTCAAATATGTACGCGTCTCTTGCACTGAACTCGTCATTCCGTGGCGATACTACACCGAAGGGAAATTATTCTTCTGACACTTATTCAAACAAATTGCATAACTTGGAACGTTAGCTTAGTGTATCCAATTCCACACGCAACTGCCAATGTTCATGGAAGATACTGAGAAATAGCCGCGCAGTATCGCAAATCTCTGAATTTTTTCGCTATAGCCCATTGTTTGTGTGGGACAATTTAATGTAGATAAGGCGGACTTAAAACTGCAGCAGCCGGCCTAATTGCCAGCTGACCAAGAACTTATCGATAGGTCAACATATCTTCTCCACTCATTTGTTAATGGGTTAGATTGGTCTGCTTAGTGAGATTTTTTGGTTAGTTTCTCTTATTTTGTTACCTTTGAAGGTGAAGATTTTACCTTTATATGATTCAGGTTTTATCTAATTTTACCTTTATCTAATTTAGTAAAATATGCAAGAACATTCCCAGTCTGGAAATATAGCGATTTTGTTTGAGCAGCAAACGGATGGAACCCAGAAATTTCACATGCAATTTTCATTATTAGCACTTTGCTTAACTTGCTCGATAGGAAACTATAAGTAAAATCTCCTTAGCCAACGTTTTAAGTAGAGGAAATTGCTACTGCTGCCACATCAGCAATGAATTTTTACTGTCGGCGTGCCTATGCATAAATGAATATAAAAATAAATATATTGATTGGAGATAACAGTGACGAGAATTTTTTTTATTTTTAAAAATAACACTTCAGAGAATTAAATAATAAAATCAATTAGAGAAATTTCATATCGACAGAATCAATCACTAAAGCCACTGAATCATTCTAATTTCTAAAAACTAAAACAATAATTTCTCTTTGTCCTTGTTGCGAGAACAGATCCCAGATGTTACATGGAAGTGCAGGGTCTCCAAAATCTTTCAAGCGTTTTGGCACGTTTTTTCCGGTTCTCAAGTAAGTCAACCTCCCAGGGTCATGCAGCCCTTGGTTTTGACCTACTCCACACGTCGATCCTGATGAAATGGTAAAAACGAACCCACCCAATTCTTACTTCTTCGCGATGCTTTCCAGATGAGACTCAACAGTCTGAACACTCAGCACTCGCTCGCCTGAACTCTCCAAGGAACAGACCTCCCATTCTCCATCTCTGCAATAGGTGTAGTAAACTTCTGGGATGCGTGCAACTTTTCTGTAGTCTCCACCCTTCGCGTTAGGACTGAGCGTCTTGATCAATTCTTCAGGCATGTCAAAAAACTCGAGTACTTTTAGCGTTGTCAGATGTTCAATGCCGAATGGCACCGTTTCAAGTGATTTGCAACGCAGAATACTTAGCTTTTCGATGACAGGCATTGTTCCCTCCTCCATCTCAATGCATCTGAGTTCGTCGAATTTATCAATGCCTAAAACCTTAAGCTTCTGAAACCCACCAGCCTTAAAACTCAAAGTATCTCCGATGCTAACTTGAAGTAACTCGAGATGTACAAGATTTGACAAATGTTGAAGAGAAACGAGCGGGTCATCCTCCAAGCGACTCCATTTAAGATATACTATGACCAGGCTTTGAAGGCGAGGTAACCAACCTGGTAATTGCTCTAATCGTCCAGTTAAGTACAGCCGTTCAAGTAATTGAGGAGGAGAAGCAAGCTGATGCAGATCAATGACCTCATCCTTTACGGATGAAACTACGGATAAGGCCCGAAGGTTAGTCAACTTCTGGATGGATGAGCACAAAGCCATCCCATCTTCTTTTCTCAAATTCATGATCCCCAATCTCCGTAATTGAGTTAACTTCCCTACTTCTTCAAGTACAGAAGCATTTCTATGGTCTGCTTCTATAAAACAGAGTTTTTGTAAGGACTGGAGAGCTCCTATTCCTGCCAAAGCCTTAAAACCATATTTGGAATGGAAACGAGAGTAGTATTTAAATTCATAGCGATAGACCAGAAGATGTCGAAGCTGTTGGAGCTTCAGGATCTCGACAGGTAATTCAGTGACATTAGTGTGTTTTAGATCCAGTGTCTGCAGGTTCTGAAGCTTCCCTATAGAACTTGGAATGCTATTGACCTTGGTTTCTCTCAGGCTTAAGTACCTCAGAAGAAACAGGTTGATAATTTCGCCTGGAAAAGCCTGTAAACGGGCAGCTCGTAAATCCAACACCTTAAGCAGCCTCAAACCATCAGGATACAGAGAGTGTAAAGGAGCGCTTAATAGTGGATCTTCTACTTCGAACATAAAAAAAGAGCGTAGATGTGAAACATTCCTGTTGTGTTGCACATTTCGCAATGAATTATGCAATGATAAGCGTCGAACTTTATCAGGCCAGGCTCCATTGTTGTCTTTGGCTATTGCTGCAAAGTTCTGATCTCTCGATTTAGAAATGATAATCTCACGCAACAGATCATGAATCCGGCATGTTTTGACCCTTCCATCAGATGTTCTCCCAAATACTTGCATCAAGCTTCTACTCAAGAGCTCATTGAGATAGTCCTCTGCAACTTCTTCTTGTGTCTTTCCTTCTTTTACTTCAACGAATCCTTCGGCTATCCACAATCTTATTAGTCTCATCCTCTCAATCAAGTAGTTATCAGGGAAGATGCTCAAGTACAAGAAACAAGATTTTAGATGGTATGGCAAATATTTGAAACTCAGTGAAAGCACTTCTGTCAAATTCATGAGTTTGTCGTTGTCCTTGATTATGGCACCAAGACTGCGGTAAATAGTCTCCCATTCAGCAGGTGTACCTGTTTTTGTGGCCAACAGTCCACTGATTGCCACAATTGCAAGAGGCAATCCCTCGCACTTCTCTAGGATACGTCTGGACACTTCGACCAAATAAGGTGGGCATGTGTTTCCCCTAAAACTTCTTCTACAGAAAAGATCCCAAGAGTAATCCGAGGATAGAGGCTCTATATTAAAGACCATATCATCAGATTCTAAGCAAGATGCTATTGCAACATCAGTATTGCGGGTTGTGATCATCACTCGGTTGCTATCATTTTTTGCAAATGCATGATTGACAGCATGCCATTGATTGATATGCCAGACGTTATCAAGAACAATCAAGTACCTCCATTGTTGTAAAAATGGCTTTATTACAACTTTTAGCCAATCACTCTTCATATCATCAATTCCTTCGGGGACTGGTTTCCTGATTGCACTGAAGAGTTGCTGGACAATGTTTCGAAGGAAATCTTCCATCTTAAATGGATGAGAAAGAGCGATCCAAACATGCACATCGAAATGTTTTTTCACACGTTCATCATCATATACTTGCTTTACCAAGGTAGTTTTCCCTAATCCTCCCATTCCAACCACCGACATAACTTTGCGTCCAGGGTTCCTTTCGACCAGCCACCTTACCAGTAGCTCTTTGGACTCATCAATGCCCACCAAATCAGCACTGTCTAGAATAAGGGCATCACTTGTTGTCATGGAACTTGAGCCCTGATCGGTTATACTAAGGTTGATAGTGTTGTTGAGCTGCCAGCCTGAAACATTCCTGATTCTCGATCTGATTTTTCGTAATTTATCAGCAGTTTGATGGTAACCCTCCAAATTCTTGACAAAGAAGCAAAAATTGTGAAGAAACCCATGGATACGGTGCCCATGTTGATCCGCATGGTGATAGTTGAATCCATCAATGACATCCTCAATGTCATATGCAATGTCTCTCACTTGCCGAACCCATTCTTTGAGTTGATGATCTCTATCTTCCACCAAGTCTGCAGCTCTCAGGGATGCCGTCATTCTCTGCAAGTCATCCCTGATGTACTCAAGTTCCTCCGGAACCCCTTGCAGAATTTGGATCTCATTTTGCAAAAAAGAAGCTATCTTTTCCAGGATAAACTCCACTGCAATTTCAGCCATCTTCTATTAGACTCTCCGAGCAATGTCCTTCAGGCCTCACGAAGCTGCACTTATATACAACTCTGGCTTTTGTTTATTCAGGCAAGTGAAACTATTGTTCTGAAAAAGTCAAATGGTTTCCCTCATGCTCTCGTCGAAATGGTGCTGATGTTTGTACCACCAAGTTGGGGCAACCACTCTTAATCAAGTTGGAGAATATGCAAATAAAATAAACTTAAGCGGCACAGGCTTGCGTGTTGGAAATGCAAAAGTTTTCAATGACTATAACTCAACAACCACCGCAAACCCAGTAGGGATAATCCACCAAAAGCCGAAGGCCGAAGGCATGAACCTCCCCCCGAGACCCAAAACAATATTCCTAAGAGATAAATCGAACAAATGGAGATAGAGAGAAAAACCCTTTTTTCCAGGATTGCATAAATATCTGCCCTTCCTAATCAGAATCCTGAAAAATGCCAGAGACCTTGGAAGCACCCAAAGCCCAAGCAACAGCACTAAAATCTTATTTTTGTCAATGTTTCACAGAAGTACATTATTTTCCCATGCTCACAAAGTAAAATCACAAGAATCTTCTTTCAATTTTGTTTTTCATACAACATACTAACATTTATCTTTAATTAATACTAAATAAATCCATATTAAAATGTACATAGACTTGACTTTGGGAATTTTCCTTCTACCACAAGCAACATATGATTTAAATTATGAATTCTCATATTACAATTAATCTTCTTCTAAATTTCATGAAAATGAACATCCCTTTGTTTATTACTTTCTCCTTACTTCTCTGTTAAGAATTTTGAAAAGAAACCTTTTGTTAACTAACAGGATATCGAATCAAATTTATTAAAAATATAGAAAAACTCTTTCAGTATGTACCAACATTTCATTGCTGACTTTTAAAACTTGATTAGAAACTAATAAATATTATTTTCGTTGACCAGGAAACTGCAAATTTAATTTGTCAAGCAACCCTTACTTCTATCAAAGTAGAAGTCGTTTGAAAGAATCTAACCAGATATGCAGAGGAATGAGGATTGCATGGAATGATAGGGAGACGACTCTGTAACGCTTTAAAGTTCTGAAGTTCCCCTGGTTTTGAGTTGGTCACCCATTTTCCAGGCAAAGTTTTTAGGTGATTTCAGGAAAATGAAACCATGGGCGGAATCCCATGGATCAATGGGTCCATTCGCTTTCCTGATGGATCTATGGTAAAAGGAAGGTTTTGGGCTTTTCGACATTAAATTCAGAGTCCTCTCATTTTCTTGAAGGAATAAAAATGAAGCCCAATCTCAACTCTAGTAAATAATGACGTGGACATGTCAAAAATACAAAATATTATTCTATTTATAATGTCACATAATTTCCATAATACGTTTAAAATTAAGTAAAACTATTTTTTAAAAATAATAAATTCTAAAAATTTGTAAACGTTGCACTATGAGCAAACACAAAAATATATGAAAATTTAATAGACAAAAAATAGTTATTACATGTATTCGTTTAACATCGGATCTTAATGTGAAAGATTATTTTGCAAATCAACCGCCTTCATTAAAAATGGATGAATCCACAATAGTTGTGAAACGACCTCATCTTTACGATATTGTCCACATTGTATGCAAGAAAAATTCTAAATTGGAAGCTTAATTTCAAGTATCTAAATTAAATATTATTTAAAAATATATAAATCTTATAATTTAGTTATTTTACATAAATAATTTCCCACGTGAACTTGAGAAGGTCATATTTTAGACAAACATTATACTTCACATCCTGTCACACAAGCTTAATTAGCATAAATGTGTAACTAATATAAAAATATAACTTATTAAACTCATTAAATATAATAAAATCTTAGTTGCCATGTTTGAGTAGCTATAGGAAAATATGCATATCATATGGTAATTTTTCATTCTTGAAAATGTCTTTTCTCAAAAATCGTGAAATTCATGGTTTTACTATAATTGTCTCTTCAATTTAAAAAATAATAAAAAAGAATATGCGAGAAATTTAAGGGAGTATGGGAAATAATAAGTGCAAAGTGCCAATAGCTAAATATATATATATATATATTATAATTTGTATACTATATAATCACATTCAAGTTTGTGGCTGATGGTGATATCTCATGTCCTTTTATATGAGCAATGGACAACGGCTAATAACGTTTTGAACTTTGGATTAGTATTACAATTTTGATTATATTATTATCTGGATATGGGACTATACTCCAAAGGTTAAGAGAATAACATTTGACAACTCTGATGATAAAAACTGATCAATGTGGTGTCAAAACTTATACGTGGAATTGATTATAGGAATTCGTATAATACTTTTTATTCTATTTTTTCATCTTATTTATTTACTTTTTAAACATTTTCTTATAGCAGCAATTGATCTGAATATGCTTTCATTGCTCATATTATGAATATGTAAAATCTATTTATAAGAATCTCATCTTGTAGAAAAAAAAAAAAGAAATGTTGAAGAGAAAAAGAGAATAAGAAAACTATCATAGCAAATAGAATGTGCAATAAATTATTGCCCAAAACTTTTATGTTTGATTTATATTAATTTTATTGAGACTTGCACTTCTTAGTTTATGATTAAGAATATGGGGAAGAGTTTGCTTTCTTATAAATACAAAGATGTTTTAATTACACTTGAATTTGGACCACAGAATTTTGAATAATGGTAGCTACACTTGCCTTTTTAAAAGCCAGACCATATATGGTAAATGAATTCGGATGAAGCATTAGAGAAACAGAATGGGCATTTAAATAAAATTGCATTGACCTTGCTCAGTAGCTTCCTGCTAGCGTGTTTTCATTACTTTCAGCAAAAGCAAAGACTTCCAATTTGCATATGCATAGTAACAAAACAAGATTTGACTGTCATAATGTGCAAGCCTTCTTCTGGTATTTGTCAAAGCAATTGCACCACAGGCCATGGTCAAGAAAGATGTAATGGATTATGGCTATTTATGGGCTATTTTATCCATATAACTATAAAGATGCAGCTTTCATGCTTTTGGCTGCCTTGTTCTACACTCCATTCAAGTGCTGAGATAGTTTTGAGAATTATTATTATATTTTCTGTGATGATAACATCATCCTGAATGCTATTGGGTTGCGTCCAGGAGGAGAATGATCCTTGCAAGAAAAAAATCTGCTAGAAATTGATCTTTTAACTAATTTTTTTCAATTCAATTTTGATTCTAGCAAAATAAGGATAATATAGTTTAATAAAATTTAAGATAAAATATAAACGGTAGACTAACTGCAGAGCTTATATGTTCAGCCAAAAAAATTCTTTTGAATGAATGGTTCATTTTGAAGATTAGTAAACTTGTATGAAATTATAATTAAATATTAAAATATTAAAAATATTTTACTCTAAAATTTATGATATTTGACTTACGTAATCTTATTTTCTCTATTCTAATCTTATAAATATTGAAAACATTAATTTTTATAAATAATAAGAGAAAATGACCATCTTTGCGACCAAGTATAACTAATAAATAAGTAAAAATGTAATCTTCTACTCCTTTAATCACATTTTTTTCTTAATTAGAATAATATCCTTTACGCACATGGACTTACCCAACAACTTCATATAAGTTAATTTAATTGTTCAACGGGTCAAACACTTCAGTTGGTTTAATAATTATTGACTATCCATATGAAGGCTGCACCATATTATTCAAACTCATCTTGTAATAATCTTGATGCTCTAAATCAATAGGTGTGCATTTCATGTCAATGTCAAATTACTCTTAACTGGATAAAAAAAATGTCATATTTCTTGAAACGCCTCGTTATGACCTAGCTGATCCATGTCATTCAATGATCATTTTCATAAATTGCAAGCCCATCTTTGGAAAGCTAGCTACCCAATTAAGCTTTAAACATTTTGGAAGTATTCACTTCATAGTCAGACAAATTTCATCACTTTCCTGGCAGGTAAAGTAGAATTTTTCCTAGTAATTTCAATACCAAGGACCACGTAGGATGAGAGGGAAATTTAACCTTGTTAGTGGATATTCAAAGTGCTCTTACTGCCCAAGTAAAGAAACCATTGACCGAGTTTTTCGCAGCAACCATCAGCAGTGACATTGTGTGAAATAGATAGGGAAGAATGGGGATAATCATAAACTTATCTAAGGGTGCCTTTGGGCTCTGTCCAAAGCCCCTCCAGTCTCCAAATTCTCTTTAACCACATTGGAGACTTGAAAAGTGCAATGACTTTTGTAGTCTAGGACGCGGAGGGAAGATGGCAGAGAGTGCAGTGCACTTTGTACTGAAAAAACTTGCACCTTTCTTTGAAAAGGGGATGCAGCTGTTGGTTGGGGGTCGGGAAGAAGTTGCATATGTGAGGGGAGAGCTGGAGCGGATGAGGGCCTTTCTGAGGGTGGCAGATGCGTTGGAGGAGACTGATGAGGAAGTGAAGGTATGGGTTAGGCAGATAAGAGATGTTGCTCATGACATTGAGGACATTCTCGATGAATACATGCTTCTCGTAACTCATAATCATGGAGAGGGGCTCTACGGTTTTCTTCACAAGATGTCTTGCTGTGTTAGGAACATGAAAGCACAGTATCGAATTGCTTCGGAGATACACGGCATCGACTCGAGGATAAGAAACATCTGTGAAGGGCATCGTAGGCTTCGTCTGAAGTTCTGTGCAGATGAAAGGTCAAGCTCCAACGGTGTGGATAACACATGGCAGGACCGACGAGGGGATGCCCTTCTTTTGGATAAAACTGATGTAGTTGGCATTGATGAGCCCAAAATGAAGCTTGTAGGATGGCTGGTCAATGGTGGTTCAGACTACAAAGTTATTTCGCTATCAGGGATGGGAGGACTGGGGAAAACGACCTTGGCAAAGCAAGTCTACGATGATCCAAAAGTGAAGAAACATTTCAAAGTACACGCTTGGATCACGGTTTCTCAATCTTTCAAGTTTGATGGCCTCCTTAAAGACATGGTTCAACAACTCTCCAGAGTAATCAGTAAACCAGTCCCTGAAGGAGTGGATAGCATGAGCAGCTATCAGCTCAAAACAATCATTAAAAACTTGCTGCGGAAAAGAAGGTACCTAATCATTTTGGATGATGTATGGCGCATTAACGAGTGGCATGCAATCAAATTTGCCTTGCCTGCTAATGATTGCGGCAGTCGAGTAATGCTTACCACGCGGAATGCTGACTTAGCCTTTTCTTCTCGCATAGAATCTGAAGGAGAAGTGTACAATTTGGAGCCTTTGCCACCTGAAGAGTCCTGGAGCTTATTTTGTAGGAAAACTTTCCGTGGAAACTATTGCCCTCCCTATTTAGAGGAAATTTGTAAACAGATCTTGAAGAAGTGTGAGGGACTGCCCCTTGCCATTGTTGCAATCAGTGGTGTTTTGGCTACAAAAAGCAAGCGAAGAATAGACGAATGGGAAATGGTTGGTCGTAGTCTTGGTGCTGAAATTGATGGCAATGATAAGCTTATGAATTTGAAGAAAGTATTGTCACTCAGTTTCAATGATTTGCCATTCTATCTAAAATCATGTTTCCTGTGCTTGAGCATCTTTCCTGAGGATCGTCCGATTGAGCTTATGCGACTGTTACGACTGTGGACGGCAGAGGGATTTGTTGAAGTGAAACAAGGAAAGACACAAGAAGAAGTAGCAGAGGATTTCTTCAATGAGCTCCTAAACAGAAGCTTGATCCAAGTAGCAGGGACAACCAGTGATGGAAGGGTGAAGTCGTGCCGCATTCATGACCTTCTGCGAGAGATCATTATTTTGAAGTCGAGAGAACAGAACTTTGCTGCCATAGCAAAAGAACAGAATGCAATGTGGCCAGACAAAGTTAGACGCCTCTCAATTCATAATACATTGCAAAATGTACTGCAAAATAGATTTGTTTCTCAACTACGTTCTTTATTCATGTTTGGGGTGGAAGAAAATCCATCCTTGCATAGATTAATTCCTGGAGGTTTTAGGCTACTTGCAGTGCTTGATTTGCAAGCTACAGCTATAACGAAATTTCCAGTTGAAATTGTCAACATGTACTATCTAAAGTACTTGAGTTTAAGGGAAACCAAGGTAACAGTTGTTCCAAGGTTTATAGGGAAGCTTCAAAACCTTGAGACCTTGGACCTTAAGCATGCCTATGTTACTGAATTGCCAGTTGAGATCCTCCAGCTCCAACGTCTCCGCCATCTTCTAGTCTACCGGTACGAGTTTGAGTCTTATGATCACTTCCACTCAAAATATGGCTTTAAAGCTCTTGAGAGAATAGGAGACCTGCAATCCCTTCAAAAGCTGTGTTTAATAGAGGTAGACCAGGGAAGTGTTATATTGGCAGAGTTGGGGAAGCTCACTCAGTTGCGGAGACTAGGCATTACAAAGTTGAGGAAGGAAGATGGGAAGAAATTGTGCTCGTCCATCCAAAACCTGTCAAGTCTTCGTGCTTTGTCTATTATTGCAATTGAAGAAGATGAGATCATCGATGTTCAACACCTCATTTCTCCTCCTCCATTGCTTCAGCGGCTGTACATGAGAGGCAGATTGGAGGCCTTACCGCACTGGATCCCTTACCTTCATAGCCTGGTGAAAGTATATCTGAAATGGAGCCACTTAGCGGAAGATCCACTGGCATCTCTTCAAAACCTTCCGAATCTTGTTCATCTTGAACTAGTTGAGGTTTATGATGGAGAAACGTTGTGCTTCAAGGCTGGAGGATTCAAAATGCTAAAGCATCTAGGCCTTGACAAGTTCGATGAACTCAAATGGGTGCAGGTCCAGGTGGGAGCAATGCCCTGTGTTCAAAAGCTAAGCATTCAGCGATGCAAATCCATGGAGAAGGTACCACTAGGTATTGAATATTTGACAAAGCTGAACGTACTTGAATTTTTCGACATGCCTCATGAATTGATCAGGACACTTCGCCTGGATGAACATGGTGAAGATTATTGGAGAGTTGCTCACATCCCCGAAGTGTATTCTACTTACTGGAGAGATGGAGCGTGGGAGGTTTACTCTTTGGAGACTTCTAGTGATGGAGAGAGCTCGCCCCGGCCCAACACTGTCATATGTTGCCAAGATCTTCATGCACGTTGGAAATGAGATCCCTGTAATTAATTTGTATATTATGTTAAGTTAAATGATCATTGTATATGTAAATAATTGTCAAAATAGTTCCACTTGAGCTTTAGATTACATGGATATGGATAAGAAGTGATTGTTAAGGAAAAATAATGGAAAAAGAAAAAGAAATGGTAAGGATTCTAGATGTGATTGCATATAATAACAAGTCATTTTACCTCCTTGAGATTGTCCTTACTTAAGGTGGGTGCATGTGCATTTCTGTTTGTATGTAAAGGTCAAAATTTGATTTTGATAATAAATAATTAATTTATATTAGTATTTTCTTGCTCTGTGATATTTTTTTTTTCATTAAAAAAAGAAAATATTATACCATACTACAGGGCTTCAGACCCAATTAATCAAAGGTCCATCAGGCCTCTTCATCAGCTTGATGTATGCGGTGTCAAAGTAGATGTCACGCATCGTTGATGCTTGGATCACGTTTTAAAAAGAATAAGAGAGAATCACTGAAAATCCCCTGATTACCTTTTTTGGCATTCGATCCAACCAGAGAAACCCATCATCTCGACCAGAAAGCTCCATCCATTCTTTCTGACCTCAACAATAAGCATATGTTTGGATCAAACATTCCAAATTTGATATCATTTGACTTCGAACTATGCAGCAAATATTTTGTCACTGATTTTATGTTTTCGAACTGTAACATATATATATATATACCGATCTTCTTATTCATGGTGTAGAACATTTCTGACCCTTTCGTCTAGTTCAATTTTCCTCATCATTGAATTTGAACTGTTTCATGATTTCCGGGCTTACTTAAGCAGAGTTAAAGACTGGGCTTCCTTTTTTGTTGCTTCAAGAAAATGAGAGGACGTCAGAGTTTAATGCCGAAAAGCCCAACACCTCCTTTTTGACATAGATCCATGATTAAAGCGAATGGACGCATTGATCCATGGGATTCCGACCATGGTTTGATTTTCCTGAAATCGCCCAAAACTTTGCCTGGAAAATGGCGCACTAACTCAAAGCCAGGGGGACTTCAGAACTCAAGCGCAACAGAGTCGTCCCCCTATCATTCCATGTAAATCCCCATTCCTCTGCATATCCGGTTAGATTCTTTCAAGGCACTTCTGCTTTGGAAGAAAGGGGCAAGTTGACAAAGAAAATTTGCAGTGTCTTGATAAACAAAAATTTTTAGTGCAAAGAACACGATTAATTTTTAGTTTTTGGTCTCGGGGGTGACTCATGTCTTAGACCTTGGCTTTGGGTTTATCATTCCTACTGGGTTTGTGGTGGCTGTTGAGCTATAGTCATTGAAACTGTGTGCTTATCAAATGGACCTGGCCGACAGGAGTCATTGAATCTGTGTGCTTACACACCTTTGGATACTTCAGCCATAACGCTGGTGTTTCTGTAGGACTCCTACTTGACGAGGATTCAGTCACCTGGAACACACCCTGCTTATTGGGAAGCCACAATGGCTACGAAAATTTAGGACGATAGGATAGTAGAGGGTGTCATTGCATGTTCTGGTCAATCAAGTGCTATAATCACAAGATTCGGGGACAATTTAAAGGCAGGCCTCTCTGTTACTCGCATGGACGAGAGATGGACGATTGATGATGTTGCATTTAATGTCCTTGGCCTCTCTCTACGAAAATTTTTGGCAAAATTAGAGCTTAGATCTACGGAAAGCATCGGTTGTAATTCTTCAATGTTTTCTCGGGGTTAAATTCTGACACTAGAAACTACAAGTAAGGATTATTGGCATTGAAAATTTTAACTTGTATTTAGTGAATTATCTAGCAAAACCAAACTCTAATGACAAAGGCATAATAATCCAAGTTTTTTTTTTTCTGGTTCTTTTGAGTTAAAAAGAGTGGGGCGCCAATTCTCAACAGCTATCAATGTGTTATCTTTTCAATCCTTTCTGTAATCTCCACGATGGAATAGTTTGCAAATTAGACTTGTTAATGAACACTGGAACTTTTAATTTATTAATCTAAACGTCTCCAGATAAGCTGCCTCACCTCGGTGAAAACTTGGGCAAAAGCACATGCACCCCCTATGCATCCTTCTGAGTAGTATAAGACCATAAGTACACAAATTCCACAACTCAGAATAAACAATCCAACTCAGCACGCCATAACAAAAGTACAGGTGAGCCTGCTAAATTTCTACTAGTTTGACGTCTTTTTTCTGTTAAAACTTTTTGACTGTTGTGAGAACTGCTGCCCATCTTGTTAATTGATACTTAACCTCGGACTTGAGAAATATCACGAAATTATGGAGGTTGCAAAGGTGATTCGACCAAGCATTTTTACTGTCAATGTATACCATATGATGATCCTTCGCAATTAAATTTCTCAGGTCAGAGATCCAAATAAAGCATTGGTTTTCCAATCCCTGGTACGCTCTGGGTAAATTTAGTTCTTTTATTTGGTTTTCCAATCCCTGATTCTGTTTGTCTAATGCTTTAGAGGTTTAATCATGATAAGTATAGATATTTAGAATGTTAACCACACCCGTGTGACAAGTTCTACCGATAGATAATGCAAAAGAAGTGCAATATAAATCAAACATAGAAGCTTTGGACTTTGTAATTATTAATATTTCTTGAATATTGGTATATTTTCTATGATAATTTTCTTATTCTCTTTTCCCTTCAGCATTTCCTTTTCTGCTAAACGAGATTTTTATAATCAGATCCCATTTAATGAAAATAACAATCAAGGTTTTACATGTTCATACAATCAGCAATTGATTCATATTCAGATCAATTGCTGCCGTAAGAAAAAAGTTTAATAAATAAATAAGGTGGAAAAAATAGAATAAAAAGTAATGTATCAATTTCTATAATCAATTCTGCATATTTTGCTGTAGACTCCCATGAGTTTTGCACCAAATGGGTCAGTTTTCATCATCAGAGTTGTCAAATGTTATTTTCTTAGCCTTTGGAGCATCAGCAGCGATTTCTTTGAAGTGAGCCCCATATAGCTTGGACTCCTGCATTAAGATGGGCAACAAGATAACCAAAATTCTAAAA